TTCTCCCCCCTCTTCGCACGACCGCAGCGCCATCTGGCTCTTCCCCATGTGAGATGCCTCGCGCCGCTTGTGCGTCTCCCCCCGCCACACCTCGCTCGACCTACGTTCGAAGTCTCGAGGACGAGATCGTCCGGCTCCGGACCAACCTCGCCCTCTCACGCCTTCAACCACCCCCACCCTCACAGGTGGTCGCGCCTTCCGGTGCACCCCCTTCTTCCTCTATTCTTCCTTCCATGCAGGCTCGCTTCCCTCGCCCTGCACCCTACCAATCTCCATCCTACCTCCTGCCCATCCCCTCGGTCGCCGCAACCTCTTCTACCGCAGCTCCCGTGAAGCCTGCCGCTGCTTCCCCCGCCGCTCCACCATGCGGCCCGGGCGTACAGTCAGTTGCGCCTCCTCCTCCTCCAGGACCTGCACCGACTTATTCCGCCGTAGCGCAGTCCCCTTCTTCTCGTTCCCCTCGCCGCCAAAACGGTGGCACACCACTCATCCGCTTGTCGGACATCCCCTATGACGGTACAGTCATACGTGTGTCTAGGTGGCTGCAGGCTGCCACCCACACGCTCCAGCTCATAGGCGCCACATCCGACACATGGGTGTTTCACCTCTCCACGCGCCTGCGTGGTGCTCCTTTCGACGTCTGGGAGGATTTCTATGCTTACTCCCTGCGTGAGGGTCGGACTCCGACCTTCATGGATTTCCAGGTGTTTCTCGAGGATCGCTTCGGAACCCGATATGACGTGACTGACGCCTTTGAGCGTGTCGTCACTACACGCTGGTCCGGCTCTGGTGGCGCTGCCAGCCTGGATCGCCACATCCAGGTCTTTCAGGACGCCCGCCGCGTTTGTGATGTGGCGTTCCTTCCCAAGGCTGCCCTTATCGATCGTTTCTTGGCCAGCCTCCCGCTCGAGTACCGCTCCGAGCTATGGCGGTACGAGTTCACATCGGCCCCACAAGCTTACGAGGCCGCCAGGAACCATCAGCGGATGCGAGCCCGTCTTCACCCCACCTCCTCTTCCCAGCCCCAGCGCACGGGCTGCGCCTCCTCCTCCTCTCACGGCACTTCCCAGTGCCGTTCCCCTTTCCGCGGTCACCCCCGCCGTTCCACGCAGCAGGGCCGCCACTTCTCGCGCCGCTTCAGCGCGCTGGAGTATGGTGAGCAGGACGTTGTTGCCCCACTGTCACCTGAGGGCGACCACAGCGACGACCTCGATCTCTGCGAGGCCGTCCACTTTCACTTGGAGGACTCGACCCTCCCTGCAGCTGAGCGCCTTCAGCTCGCGCTCTCCGCCCTCTCTCGGGCACGCAGCCGCCCCGGTCACGCTGGCGCGTCGCCCCCCAAGGTCCCTCAGGAGGACCTCCCTCAGGGCTTCGTCCCTCCTCGCGGTGTCCTTTCCGCTGAGAAGCGCGCGGCTATTCTGGGCCGACGTGGGTGTTTGCACTTCCGCTTGGACGGTCATACCTCCTCGCGGTACCCTTACACTACCGCCCTCGACCGCCACTACGCTGATCTTTCTCGTCAGCGTCGTGCTGAGTCCCCCCCCGGCGCCTCACATCCCCGCGGCGCCTCCTAGCCACGGTGCAGTGTACACCTGCGCCCTCCTCAGTAGTGGGCTTCCCGACATCTCCGTCGCGGTTCGCCCCTCTCGCTACTGGAGTTGAGGGATCGCAGGACTCGACAGAGTGTACTCAGCCCTCTGTCACATACCGTCTGCGCCTCCGCAGACCACCGTCTCCCCTCCTYCCCCGCCGCGACTACCGACGTGTTGAGCCATTCGCTCAGCCCGTTGYAGCGAGCAGCTTGCTACTCGCGATGACGTTGTGTCCTCTCTTCTGGACTTGAGCATGCTCCAGGCTCGTCAGGAGCGACTCACCCTCCATGTCGCTGCACTGCGTCGCCTTCTCGCCATCCTCTCTGACCCTGATCGCACCCTCCCGATCATCCCAGTACGACTCGAGACCTCCACTAGGGTGTACTCAGCGCTGTGGGATTCCGGCTCTCAGGGTGACTTCATTCACCCATGCGTAGTGAAGGAAGCCCGCTTATCCACGACAGGGTCTCCGACTCCTATCTCCGTTACCCTAGGGGATGACAAGACCCAACGCTTCTTCGATCAGACGGTCACCGACCTCCCCTTCTTCCTCACTCTCGAGCCGACTCCCATCTCCGTTACCCTAGAGGATGACAAGACCCAACGCTCCTCTGCACATTTCGATGTGATGGAGACGGGGTACGACTCCATTCTCGGCACTCCGTGGTCTCGTCGGTTTCGCAGCACCGAGGCCGATTGGGCGACCAACACTCTCGTTCTCAGAACGAAGTGTGGACAGACGTATCGCGTACCTTTAATAGGTAACACGGCGATACCACGCCCCGATCCTCCTCCCCCGGAGCCTTCAGTGCCCACACCATCCCCCTCTATCACTGTCACCTCGCCTCGGCAGTTCGCTCACTTCATTCGACAGGACGACGTCACCTTCTTTATGGTGAATGTGACGGATCTCTTACACTATGATCCACCCTGTCCCGACGCCGAGCTCATCCCTCTGGAGCCAGATCCTCCTTCTATCTCCATGGCTCTCATCTCTACTCCCGTCCTTTCGCCGTCCGTCGAGCCCACTCCGTCGTCGCGCGCTGACACTGACGCTGAGGAACTCGCACGATATACGGCTGACCTGGAGCCCGCAGTTCGTGACCTCATCCAAGAGTACCACGACGTTTTTCCATCGTCGTTCTCGTACGTCGGCATCCCACCGATGCGTGACGTCGAGCACTCCATTCACCTTGTGCCTGGTTATCGTGTTCACCACCAGGCACCCTACAGACTCTCGATTCCCGAGGCCACCGAACTCAAGCGTCAGCTTGAGGAGCTCCTGAGACTGGGTTTCATTAAACCCAACAACTCCCCGTGGGGTGCACCCGTCCTCTTTGCTCGCAAAGCGGATGGAACTCTTCGTCTCTGCATCGACTACCGCGGTCTCAACCGCTACACGGTTAAGAACAGCTACCCCATGCCTCGTTTCGATGAGCTGTTCGACCGCCTAGCAGGCAACCGCTTCTTTACGAAGATTGATCTTCGTAGCGGTTACCATCAGATCCGCGTCGCTGCAGCCGACCAGCCGAAGACCGCGTTCCAATCGCGCTTCGGCCACTACGAGTTCACGGTGATGCCATTCGGCCTCACCAACGCACCCGCCACCYTCMAGAGGGCGATGAAYGACATCTTCAGGGACATCCTGGAGCAGTACGTTCTCGTTTACCTCGACGATATCTTGGTCTACAGTCGTACCCTTGAGGAGCACCTCAGACACCTCCGCGACGTCCTTGACCGCTTGCGCAAACATGACTTCTACGCCAAGCTCAGCAAGTGCCGCTTTGCCCAGCACAAAGTGGACTTCTTAGGACATTACGTGTCTGACTAGGGTCTCCACATGGACGACGCGAAGATCACTGCTATTGCGGAGTGGCCCGCTCCCACATCCGCCAAGCAGCTTCGCAGTCCCTAGGCCTGACCAGCTACTATAGTAACTTCATTCGGGGATACGCTAGGTATTCCTACGTCCTTACCTCCACCCTCCTCCGGAAGAACCCACTCTGGGCTTGGACACCCCTCCACGAGGACGCCTTCCGCGCCCTCAAGAAGGCGGTGATATGTGCACCGGTTCTTCACCTACCCGGTTTTGATCGCCCTTTTACCCTTACCACCGATGCGTCAGACTTTGTTGTAGGAGCAGTGCTTTCTCAGGTCTTCCCCTCCTCTCCTGATTCCTCTCATCCTTGTATCCCTCGCTTCCCACCACCTACCCCTACCACTGCTTCCCGACTGACGCCTACTCGTCCAGCTACTGACGAGTCTTCTATTGACTATTCTCCTACCATCGCCGAGGACGGCACTGTCGAGTCTCGCTCAGGTGATTGTCCGATAGCCTTCTACTCACGTCAGCTCCTGCCCGCCTAGATAAACTACACTGTCGATGAACCTGAGGTTCTCGCAGTAGTTTATGTCGCTCAGCACTGGCGTCACTACCTGCATGGGGCACCGTTCACGGTGCCTACGGACAACTCTGTTGTCCAGGCTTTTCTGACAAAACCGAAGCTCACTCCTCGACAGGCTCGCTGGTGGCACGACCTATCCGAGTTTAGTTTCACCACTAAGCACATCAAGGGTGAGACTAACCGGGTCGTAGATGCCTTATCCCGGTGCCCTAACCACGATCAGGAGCAGATCCATCTCTCTTCTATCTCGGTCACCACCGTCCACCACTCGGTGATCGACGAGTTTCACACTCAATACCGCCACTGCCCTGACTATCGCGACATCCACGCGACCCTTCGGAGTGGCAAGACCGTCCCGAACTACTCTCTCAGGGACAACGGTCTCGTGTACAAGCACGGTTCACAGGGCACCAGAGAGCCCCGTATTTCCGATCCCTCCACTAGACAGCTACGTGTCCGAGCAGTAGCAGAGTTCCATGACCAGGCAGCCGCCGGTCATATGGGCTTCCACAAGACATTGGCTCGTGTGAGCCGCCTATACGTATGACCGAAGCGCAAGGACTTTGTGAAGGAGTACGTCGCTGAGTGTCCCACCTGTCAGGAGGTGAACAATGTGAACCACCTGCCTTATGGTTTGCTCCAGCCTCTTCCTATCCCTGAGGGTCGTTGGCAGTCCATATCGATGGACTTTATCGGTCCTCTTCGACCTCCGACCCCTCGCGGTCATGATGCTATCCTGGTCGTCGTCGATCGCTTCACGAAACGTGCACGCTTTGTTCCGTGTCGCGGGTCGCCGACACTGTGTTCGACCGAGTCGTGCTTGACCATGACTTACCTCTGAGCATCATATCTGACCGTGACCCGCGCTTTACCAGCCGATTCTGGCGACGGCTCCACGAGTTGTACAGCACTCAGCTCCGCTTCTCCTTGTCTTACCATCCTCAAACTGATGGTCAGACCGAGATTACGAACAGGAGTCTCCGAGATATTCTCCGAAAGATTGTTCGTGACGACCAGCAGTGGGATCTCTATCTTGCCCACTCGGAGATAGTCTACAACCACGCCGTCTCGCCAGCCACGGGGATGTCGCCTTACTATTGCGACCTCGGCTATCMCCCTCGTGTTCCCGCGGACTTCCTTCGACCATCCCAGATGCACCCCGACACGAGTTGTCCCGCGTTGGATGATTGGGTTGCACACATGACGTCGATCATGAAGACCGCACATGAGCACATAGCCGCTTCTCAGACTCGCATGGCAGCACGTGCGAACCGATCGAGGATGAATCATTCATTCAAAGTCGGTGATGATGTGCTTATCGACGCCCGCCACTTACAGCTCGAAGCGGACACGCTTCGCAAGTTTCGGCGTCGCTTCTTTGGCCCATGCCGCATCCTCCAGGCCATCGGTTCTGAAATGGCATCTAGCCCGGTCAGCTTCCGTGTGAAGCTGCCTGACTACCTACGCCAAGCTCGTGTGCACGATGTCTACCACGTCTCGTTACTGCGTCCTTACCGCAGATCGTCTGAGTGTTTCATCGGACGACCATACGAGCGCCCTTCACCCATCATGGTGGACGGTCACGAGGAGTTCCTCGTTTCAGACATCATTGGTCGCCGAGTCACCGACGACAACCCTCCCCACGTCGAGTATCTCGTACGTTGGAAGGGTTACCCTGATGAGGAGGCTACCTGGGAGCCCCTCGAGCACTTGCAGCACGCTCGCATGTTGGTGCGTGCCTATGACCGTGCTCGTCGTGCTGGGTTCACTGCTCCTCCTCAGCCCACTGACCCTCCTCCTTCTCCTCCGGCAGAGGAGACCGCTGAAGTGGAGCCTGCTCCATCTAAGGCAGACCTTCAGCAGCAGCCGGATGCTTCTAAGCGTCCACAGTGCACTCGTCGTCGTCCTGCTCGATACGACGATTGACTCTGACTTACCTTCCCACGTCTTCGACTTCTCAGTACTCCATCAACATCAGTTTTGCTACTTCAGCTCGTCGACGCTGCGGCTCTTCCTCGACGACATTCCGGACTTCTCATCGTGGACGTCATCGGCAACTTCATGGACTTCATCACGATCAGCTCTGCCTACTTCAGACGTCGCCAGTCTCTTACCACTCTACCCTGTACAGTACCCTGCTTGTGTCGCATGATGGTCTCCCTTTAGCCGGGTTCCTCTGAGTTGGGCTCTCCCTTGGTATACGCATAGGCATCGGGACCGTAGCATTGCCCTGGCTTCCCATCTTACGGATCTAGCTCTGACTTTCCTCACTTTAGGAGTTACTTGCATGATTCCCTCACCCATCATCTTTCTACCCTTCGCCGGCCCTCACGCCCTAGTTAGGCAGCCCCGCATGCTTCAGCTAGGTGCGCCCAGTATACCAGGCTCCCCTATTCCTTTGCATGGTCGACCCTCCATAGCGGTCACCCCTTAGTCGAGCATTACCCGCCCTGATGGTCTATCTGTTAGGGTCATTGGTTCTGTTCGCTCTCAGTTCCCTACCCTCATTGAGCCTGATGACATGTGTCTCCCTGTTACCTATGTGTAAATGCCCTTAGGAGTTTTCGACCCCTAGGCTGCATTCGCCACCCTCAGAGACCATCCCACCCTTTGGTTTGCGACACACTTCTCATGTGACATATAATAGACTTGGTGTTGCTTTGTTGCTCGCAGACTGAGGCTACTGCCTCTGATATTTCTAGGATTTAGTTGTTCTGCTTTTGCTGTTCTTAGGACTTATACACTAGTCAGTTGTTACCAGACTGAGGCTAGTGCCTCCAACATTCTAGGATCTAGTTGTCACTACTTTCTGCTTTCCTAGGACTTGTATGCTAGTTAGTTGCTTTTGCTTTCCTAGGACATGTATGTTAGTTGGTTGCTTCTGCTTTCACTTAGGCTGTTAGTTGTGACATTGCTGTTCAGGTTTTCTGTTCTTTGGTAGAGTTCCGCTTCTTGGCGGAAGCATGTTTGTATCTAGGCGATCCATCACAGGCCGAGGATCGTGTAGCGGACCTCGGGTTGGCCTGTGAGACCAGCCCCTTGGCCTGTTCTCACAGGCCTGTGTTGTATTCGGGGTAGGCCAGTCTAGGCCGGTACCTCTGTCGGTACCAGCCAGTCCAGTCCAATCCCGTCAGTCCGTTGGGGTATACCCCAGCCATTGTCTGTTTCACCCTCATTCTTCACTTGCACATTTTGGAGTACGTGCGTTGGAGTCTTGCGTGGGGGACTGCGCTGTGGACCTTGCTCCCTCCTTCCTCCATCTCCATCTTTGTCACTACACCTGGTGGGTCCGCTACACATGCTCTCTACCCCCCGCCCCCTTGTCCTCCCCCTCTTGTTCTGAGGTAGAGTCCGACGATGAAGGGGACGAGGAGGAGGAGGAGGAGGGCCTGGTCCCCCTGTTTGGGGAAGTGGGGCTCAATCCCCACTCCCACACGAAGTGTTACAACAACACGATTTACGAACACCAGGATTCCTACTCAAATTCTTCAGTCGAAGGTGAAAGAAAGTTGCCACTGCCTGTAAGGGACTCAGAGGAGTTGGGCCTGAGCAAGGGGAAACCCCCTTGCTCCTCTGATGAGGATTTCGTAGATTGTACTGATAATCAGGATAGCTCGGGGCCAGTTGAATCCCGGTTGGTTGGGGTTTCCTTTCCCCCGTCCCCTCGCCAGTTCTTTTTTTTTTTTTTTTTTTTTTAAACAACCCGAGTGCATGCTAGGGGTGCTGATACGAGCAGACACTACTAACATGCACGGGGAGGCTCCATCTATTGGTGGGGAGCGGCACCTGCTGGAAATCGGGTCCAGCGTCCCTCAACAATTATAGCCAGGCGATCCGTATTCCACCCGAAGTCATGTCCCTATGCCACATGTCAATCCCCCAAAATACGTACGTAATCACCCAAAGCAACACTCTGGCACAGTCTATCATCTGAGGAACAACATTGATTGCCCTCGAGCAAGGGGATTAACTGCTCCTCGTGTTTTAAAACAAAACTCCTATTCCGAACCCTCATGGTCCGCTTACCAAAACATTCGCAGGACAGCGAGAGGGAGAGGTAATCAGAGCAGGAAGTTTGATGAACTTACTATGGCAAATTCCGAAAATATCAAGAAGTTATTTCGCTCAAGATTGTCAACGGGTCGCCATATCCCCCCACGATCCTCATGATCAGCGATTTACGTCACAAAGAGGAGGGGGCATTCCTTTGTAATCTAATTACCCTAACGAAATTATGTAATAGCACCACGAACCCCCACTGAAATTCCACATGTCACGCGGCAGGAGGTCAAAATCCCACGGTCTTACCTTACCTACCACGTGAATAAACAAGTTTCACAAAACGCATCAGGTTACGTAGCAGCCCCGGCCAGATCAATTGATACACGAGGCAGCCCCCTACCAACCAGTCCCCCTGCTGACCAGCAAAGTTGATGGAGCTGAAATTTCAGATTACGCTATCACGCTACCGAGCAGCAGGCGATCTCTCCATCTCACCTAATCAGGTATATGACAAAACCTTTGTTGTAAAAGCCGCAAGGGGGTCCAGATTGCCAATAGTACTCAGAAAACAAAGAGCGATAAAAACACGCTGCTGCTGTCATGCATACCCTGCGGCGCCTCTTCAATCATCCATTCTCTCTACCACCCCTCTGTAAAGACTCTACCCCACTCTGTAACCCTCCCCCCCGATCCCACCCGGATCCCATGAAAGAGGCGGCTCGCTAGTCCGCGAAGTCGATGAGCCCCAGATCATCATCAGCATGCCCAAAGACAACCATCCCCCAATGAACTCACCTTCCCCAAATCCAGCAAAGGGCTTACCCCTCTCACGTTCGATGCAATCACCCGCGTTGCCAACACCCTGGGCGTGCGGAAAACATGCACAAGGCTCACCTTCTTCGCTGGTGTTATAGTACTTATCAGTGTTGTTGTCGTTGCTGCGATCGTCACCACCAATGTTATTGTCGCTGCCATCAGCGCTCATATTGTCCTTACTAATTTGGTTGTTGTTGACGACGCCAACGAAAGCAACGTCACCAACATAACGATAATCGCTGCTTTTGTCATTGTTATTGTTGTTGTTGCTGTTGTTGTTGCCGTTGTTGTTGTTGTTGTTGTTGTTGTTGTTGTTGTTGTTATCATTGTAACAGTTGTTGCTGTTGTAGTTGTTGTAGTTGTTGTGCCGGACAGCGCCACAGATGAGATCGACAGTGTCTTTGCTGTCATTAATGTTGTTGAGAAGAACGAAAGTGCACATAAGCTCGCCATTATCGCTACTATCGTCGTCGCCGTCAGCAAGGAGTTGATGTCATCCTCATAGCAGCGTTCTTCCAGCTCAGCACAAAGATCTTGCCCCTCCTCAAGATCTGCGTAGTAGCTCCGCATCAAGCTGCCCAATCGTGGTCCATCTATGAGCGCAGTAAGATGAGGGGGCGGCCTCTCCTCCAGTCCCCACGCTGTCTCCAATAGCGTCTCCCGCACACTCCGGATCCACGGGATTGATGTCACCGTCGTTTCTGCAGCCACTGCTTTCAACTTCGCCACTTCGCTGCACACCCGTTCTCTGCTCACTTGAACGATGGCAAGCCACTCATCGGCCGCCAACTCGCCCAACCTCACCATTGTAGATATCAGAAGCCGCACCACTATCACTAACTATCGACAAATCCACAGCTGGCGTCACACCTGCCCGTGCGTCACGGAACACGATTCCAACTGCAGTCGCCACGTGGCAGCCAAGCCACCACCCACGTCTGCAGGGCGCACGTGCAGGCCCAACGGTCGAAGGACTCCCTCCCTCCGGCGCTAGTCTAGCCGGCAGACCGAGCCTTGCCGGCCTGGCGGCATCAGAGCGCTAGCGTGAGCGCGGCCCCACTTCGGTTGAGGTCATTGACCTGGCTCAGTTCCTATATCCCCCTCGCCGGTTCTCAGACTCAACCCAAAAGGAAGATACGGGCTCCCCAGCGAAGAAATCTAAGAAATTGACACGCAAAATGCTTCTGCAGGGGGCAGCATGGGGAAACTCTGAAATCGGGTGAGGAGGCAAAGAAGTTGTTGCCGACAAAGAAATCCCTCTCCTTTGCCCCCCCAATGCAAACTTTGTCCAGAAGGGACAAAGCCAGGGGGGTAGTGGAGGAGTTGGTAGTCACTTTAATAGTGACCCAGTCCCCTCACGGGATTATGGTGTTAACAAAGGTTCAACCCAATGAATCTCTTGCTCTCCCTTCTTTCCCCGCTGCAGGTCCCCCGGTTGAGTCTCAGTTGATTGGGAAAGTGTAGAAGCAAGTTTTGCAGAGTTTTGGCTTATGTAGGATGCTGCCTTAACCAAAGAGTGGAAGGTTTCTGATCACAAATTCGAAAGACTTCAAAACTGCTCTTCACTTCTCCTTCTTGACGATACAGGCGGAGCAATCATCGCTGCCAAGTCTCCGTACCCAAAATATACACTGGATCCCTCTTGCTCACTTGCTGGATGTTGGGATAGATACCCTTAGAGATATTGTTATCTCTAAGGAAGTATCTGCCCTTATGGTGGCGCAATAGCTGGCTCAAATGGATTTGGCGGATTTCCTCACAACCCCCGCCTCTACAGAAAGCTTGAGCAAACTTCTCTCTTCTGGTGCCAAGTGCTGCAGGAGGAAGTCTCAAGGACCATGAAAGTCACAAGAATCAGAAGTCTTCTCAGCCCCGCATCCAATTAGCACGCGGCAAGGGCCTAACCAATGGTCCTGCCAGAAAGGGTTAGAATCGCAGCCTGGAACGTGCGTGGTTTGGGAGACTCAGCAAAAAGGCCAAGGATCAAGGAATGATGTCGTACTAACAACGTACAAATTTTGTGTCTTCAAGAGACAAAAACAAATGACACCAAACTCTCTATCCTGCAGCAGTGGTGGGAGGGACCTCAGGTTTGGTCCCCAGTTGTAGGATCGAGGGGCGCCGTTGCCATCTTCATAAACAACGATTTGAAAATCTCCACCTTGGACCATTACCATGACTTTGAGGGGCGATGGGCATGGATTAAGTTCGAAACTGACAAGGAAGAATGGGCTGTCATGACGGTATACGCGCCATTCATTTATCCAGAAAGACTAGAATTTTTCTAAAATCTGCCCGCCTCTCTTCTGGATACAAAAAACTTAATTATGGCTGATGATTGGAACTCCATATTTAATCTAGGACTTGACTCGCTCAAAACCTCCCCCATCAGACTAGACTTGATCATTCTCACGGAACTGTGTGATTCTCAAGACTTGACAGGCGTCTACCATGACTGGAACCTTGACTCAAATGACTTCACATGATACGGCCCAAAACCCAACAAGCGAACTCCCGCACCAAGAAAACGCTTGGATTTTTTTCTGATAAGGGGCTCTCCTTGGGACCGGTGCATGTCTTGTGAGTTGAAAACAAAATCCTTGTCTGATCACCAATCTGAGGTGATGGATGTCATGTCCAGAGAAGTAATCAATAGACACCGGCCTCCCTTCAGACTAAACATAAATTTACTCAAAGATGAAGACATTGTGCGTTGGGTTTCCTCCAACATGAAAACTTGGATGGAGGCTCATGATTTGTCCCTGACCCTAATTTGTGGGCAGACACGGGAATAGGCATACTCAAGTCAGCACTAATCGAATTCTCGAGAATGAAATTTGCACCTAGTCAGAGCAGTCTATTAGAAATCAGGTTAGAGAGGCTGAAGGGAAGATGGGTAGGGACCCCTTTTCGGATTACTACTGGACGGAGAAGAGGAAGGTGGCCTTAGCTCAACTTGAATCTATGCAAGTTCAGAAACAAAACGAATGGCTGGACTGGCTGCAAATGAGAGGGGTAATGGTCTATGATAAAATGACCAAACTCTCCTTCAGGTCGCTTTTGCTCTGCCGTTCCAATCCTTCATGAAAGAGTTGGCTCACCCATTCTTCATTAACGCGCTCCTGGCAACGAACACGATGAATATGTGTACATATGATCGTGAATATTACAGGAACATTGTGTCTAGTACCAGACGCCACTTTGAATCCCCTAACTATGACCTTTTCGAATTTTCCAACTTCTGGGACGCCCCCTACGGGACCATCTCCCCATCGACTAGAGCGAATCTAGACTTACCTATATATGAGGATGAAATTTTGTTGGCCGACTGCCAAATGGCGAACTTAAACCACCAGTACTTGGCCCAGCTATCCCTGCCGAGCCTGCCGACCCCCTGCGCGCCAAGTTCCCCCGAACCGCCGCGGCGCCGAGCAACATCCACTTTGGCTGGCGCCTCTAGCCAGTGCGGTCCGGTAGGCCGAAGCGCGGGAAACGCGTAGCGTTAACGCTAAGGGCCCGCGGCCGATGTATGGGCCAAGTACTGGTGGTTTAAGGGCAAATGCCCTGCCCTGGACGGTATCCCAATTGAATTAATATTAGCTTCGTCGTCTGCTTTCACCCCATTCCTAAGTGGGATTTATGACTGTGCCCTTACCTCGGGTTCCTTCCCCAGAAATTTTACTTTGGGGATGATCTCCCTCCTTTATAAAAAGGGGGACAAGAGACAAGTGCACAACTAGCATCCCATTTCGGTCCTCAACGTCACTTACAAACTCTTCGCTTAGATTAGCTTAGATCCTTCCGGACTTGATCGGTTGGGAACAGGGAGCCTTTGTAAAAGGCAGATCCATCTTTGATAACATTATTGCTACTGTGCAAGCTCTAGAGATTATGGGCAAGGAAAAAAGAAAAGTTGTCATCCTTTTGCTTCACATGGAAAAAACATATGATAAGGTGGGATGGAGTTTTGTGCATACTTCACTGAAAAACATGGGGTTTGGCCCTGGTTTTTGTAAATGGGTAGAAGCTAGTTATAGTCAAGCATCCTCAATGGTTCCAGTTAATGGTAGGCTCTCAGAGAGTTGCGGGTTTACACGGTCTCTTAGGCAAGGGTGTCCTCTAGCCCTGTTACTTTTTGTATTACAGTTAGAAGTTTTGTTAAATAACATTAGGAGAAATGACTTGATTAAGGGTTTGAAACTTTCCCCCACCTACATAGAAAAGGGGGGCAATTGCGGATGATCTTACAATAGCTTGTGAAAACTCTTTAGAATCCCTACTAGGATTGCGTAGCGTTGTGAGGAAACCCGGGGAGGGGTCACCTACTGTTCGCTGAAGCCATGGGCTACGGCGCCTGCCACTTCGCCGCGCCCGCTTCCAAGGTCCTCAGCGACCAGCAGGGTGTTGTAATACCCGCCTCGTTCCCCCTCGAGAATGCTAGCGGGGACAATTTCTATATACCTTGACTGAGCTCGATTCTCAGCGATTGACGAATATTAAACGTGAATCAAAACAACACTTCATTCACTGTGTTTGGCAAATACGGCAGCAAGTGAAAACAAGTCATTTACATCAGATCAGCAACTTAACAGCAAGCGAGAACAAACCCTTCTCCCTGGCGATCAGCGGACACAGCTACAAGTGCAAGCGAGCCCCTATTCATTGAAATCACCAAACTCAGCAGCAATCTTAAACAAGTCTCTTTTCATACGGATCAACAGACTCAGCGGCAAGCGAAAACAAGTCCCTTTTCGATGAGATCAACAGACTCAACAACAAGTGAGAACAAGTCTCTTTGGTCTTGATCGAGCTTGCCGTTAACCAGGCACTATGCTCACAGATCAACAACAGAGTAAGTGAACTTTGAGGCCCCAAGAACATTCGTTTCAGTGAACAGTTGTAAACCCATTCCCACTCGACTGTCTTTATCTCTCACTACTCACCACTGTTTATTCCGCTCAGATGCAGAGTCTTCGGGTCTGATTGCTCTCTCTCGCTACGCTCACTCTTTCTCTCCCAGCCCCCTTTCTTTTCCCTTTTGTCTCGCTGACCACTCTTTCTTAGTCCACCCTTTTTTTCTTTTTTTCTTTTGTCTCCCTGATCTCTCTCTCTCTCAGTCTACTTTCTCCCTTCAGTTCGATACTCGAACAGCTCTACACGGAATGTGTGAGAAGGGAAAAGGGGAAGAAGTATGCACAATAATAAAAATAAATAGCGTAGGACAGGGGGCGAAGAAAATTGAACAGTGTTCGAGAATAGTCCAATGAGGGGCCAATTAGAGTGATACAGTTAGAGTATACCAGCAACTAAGTCGCAGTTTCTAGTCCAGCAAACTTGGATTTCGAATACCCCCAACAATCGACCAAGAGGCCCGTTTCAAAACCATGCAGTGTACTGATCTGCAAACTCAGTCTTCGAATGTCCCACCGATCAAACAAGAAGCTCGTCTCAGTACCATGCGGTGAAACATTCCGCAAACTCAGCCTTCGAACGTTCCTACGATCAATCTTGAAGCCCGTTTCAATGAATCATCCTGCAATCTCTATTCCTTGAACACTGGCGAGACGTTGTGCAAGCACGGCTC